TTCTCTTGTCTTTATCATCTATCCTTCCTTCACATTCTCCTCCTTTTCATTTTCCCTAGTGTGTATTTGCCCATATTGTGTCAATCATTGGACCAATTCATCATTTACCAACCCACAAAAAATAAGTTGTAGTATGCCGAGCATTTTCCATCTGAAAACTACCCACAAAAATAAGTTGCAGTGTGCCGAGCATTTTCCATCTGAAAACTACTCCTAACAGCTGCAATCACTTTCAGCTCTTAAAGTTTATTTAGTCCACTTAGTTTAAATGGGAACTGAATCTTTTCAAACAGTTGCTGAATCCTAATAAAAGATGATGAATAAAATCCAGGCATTGAAAACATCAAATGATTAGACAGGATCACAAAGAACATCGCCAATATGGATTCAGAATTCATAGTTAGCAGAGTCATAGAAAATGTCTCCCTGCTTCCATTCTAAGCCTTTAAGTTTTAAAATGTCTGGATTAACCATGGAGTTATGTAGGACTTACATGCGTGATAAAAGTGGCCCTATAGCAAGATGGAGAGGAACTGGTTGTTAACTTCCCTAAAAAATACAACTAAATAGTGGCAGATTCTGCTTCTTCCAACGTTGTGAATCCAGCTTGCCACTTTTGTTTGTTGGTTAACCATGGGGTTCACCTCAGATCAACTGAGAGAAATAAAGAACCAGCCAAGTAATCACACTGTAGTGTTAGTTTTTGACAACACTTCTGGAGATGGTTCTGGTGCTCAGGTGAGCCTAAGGCACATCATGTATACAGATGGCCAGGTAGCCTCGGTGCAAATGTGTACTCTCTGGACTTCACAGCTTTAAACTGAAGCTTCAGGTGAAAAAATAAAAAGAGAGAGAAAGAGGCGCACTCTAGGTGTTTCAGTGTTATGGTGATTCCAACATTAGTCTACCTGTTGTGGGAAGGAATTGGTTAAGAAGTACCTCTGCTACTCAAGACCCGATATGATCTCCTTGCCTCCAAGGTATGTCTTTCCAGGTGTTCCTGGAATTTTAAGTTATTTTATTTTATTTATTTATTTTTATTTGTTGCAATTGATTCTATTTTAACTCAACATTTCTGGTATACTATGTCCATGAATGCTTTCTATTCTGGATTCTTGGTGTCCTTTCCCCTTCTTTTCCTTTCTTTATTTTTTAATTTTTTTTTTTTAATGTGGTGTTGAAGATTGAACCCAGTGCCTCACATGTGCTAGGTGAGCACTCTGCCACTGAGCTACAACTCCAGCCCTCCTTTCTCCTTCTTGTTCATTCATCCATTCATTTGTTTATTCATAAGCCATCAATAAACATTTATTGCGTCAAATGGAGAACGAATATCGGACTTGTATTTTAAATAGAAGATGATAATGTACATTGTCAAAAGCTTTGAGAGCTGTGATCTAGAATCTGCAGTGAACAGCCATCACTGGCCTGGACCTAATTAGTGAAAACTGATCAGGAGTAGCCTTTCCAAATTACTTTTATCAGGCTAGAGTATGGAGCTCTGTCGTAGAACACTTGCCTAATACAGGCAAGGTCCTGGGTTCAATTCCTCCTCAGCACCAAAAAAAAAAAAAAAAAGGAAATATTTCAAATTACTTTTATCTGATATAAATTCATTCAACATAACTTTATCCAACATAAACTATTTCATCTAGAAGGGCTTGTGTTATGGTTCATTGGTCTCCTTGTAGGAATAGCTTCTCTCTCTTTCCTCAGTAGCTGCCTTGATGGTCATTGTGGATTGAGCATGGAATGAATGAGGGTTTTCAAGATCAAGAGGATTGCTGCCACAGACTCTGCCTTCCAGTGTCAGTGACATGAAGGACAGTAGGTACTGCTGCAATGAGAACAAGTGTTGAATTATAAAAGCTAGGTGAGTTTATATTTAGTAGATCCTAACATGTTGACCACAGATAGGTTTAGGATACTCCTGGCTCTGCCACCCTCCTGCCCCACCTGTCTGGCTGTGTGTCTTATCTCTATCACATTTAGCAACCTTAGTATGCGGATCCAGTTAGGATGCGGTGCCCCTCACTGAATGCAGTCAGCTTTCACAGACAGGTACTAAGATATTGTGGCTGGAACTAGGTGTTAGACTCTAAATTTACACACACACACACACACACACACACACACACATTACTTACATGTATTTAATGTATTTTATTTCTTCTAGCAAAAACTGCATTTAAATACTGACTCTTTTATGATGGAATTCCAGGAAGAGTAGGAGGGATGTTTTATAGCAAGTAGCCATTCTCAGTCATCATTAAGTGTATTCTACCCCAAAGGTCTATTTTCTTTTCTGCCCAGTCTATGCATAGTCTCATATTACTGTTTTTCTAGATGAGGTGGAGTTTGTATATGTTTGCTTATCTGATCATTCTAAAAAATGCTTCTAGTTTAATATAACTTTATATGTACCTTCTTCCAAACAGTTTTTCTCTTCATTTTTTCTTACATTATGTTGAGGTAAATTTGATTTTGCCTTTTATTTATTTTTTTTTAATAGAGAATTTTAATATTTATTTTTAGTTTTCGGCGGACACAACATCTTTGTTTGTATGTGGTGCTGAGGATCGAACCCGGGCCGCACGCATGCCAGGCGAGCGTGCTACCGCTTGAGCCACATCCCCAGCCCTTTGCCTTTTATTTTTGACACACATATGATTTCCAGCCGCTTGCCAGGGAGCTGATGGGTCCAAAAATATCTGACCCATCAAACATTTAGTGAAATGTCAATCTTATCAACAAAAAGGGGGTTTGAGCTGTCCCTCTCCTTGGTCTATACCCAAAGGACTTAAAAACAGTACTACAGGACACAGCCACATTAATGTTTATAGCAGCACAATTCACAGTGGCTAAACTGTGGAACCAACCTAGATGCCCTTCAATAAATTAATGGATAAAAAAATGTGGCATATATACACAATGGAATATTACTCAGCAATAAGTGAGAATAAAATCATGGCATTTGCAGGTAAATTGATGGAGTTAGAGAAGATAATGCTAAGTGAAGTTAGCCAATTCCAAAAAACCAAATGCCGAATGTGTTCTTTCATATAAGGAGGCTGATTCATAGTGGAATAGGGAGTGGGAGCATGGGAGGAATAGATGAACTCTAGGTAGGGCAGAGGGGTTGGAGGGGAAGGGAGGGGGCATGGGGTAATTAATGATGATGGAATGTGATGAACATTATTATCCAAACTACATGTATGAAGACACGAATTGGTGTGAATATACTATGTATACAACCAGAGAAATGAAAAATTGTGCTCTATATGTGTAATAAGAATTATAATGCATTTTGCTGTCATATATAAATTTTAAAAAGTAAAAAAATGGGGGGCACTTGAAGGGCTAACATTCATGAAGTTGATTTGCTGAGTTTAAACATACTGTGATCTCAAAAAGTTTAGAATTGCTTCAGAATGTGAAATTGATGAATACAAGATAGATCTATAATTTAGAAAAGCATAACTCCTCCTTCTATTAATTATTTTCCTCTTAGTAGTATTTCATGAGAAAATGCAAATATCAGAATACAGTAGACTATTTTGCCTTAAAGAGGTCCCCCGCACCCCGATTCATTCGTTTGTTTAGTTTGTAACAGAATAGTTTAAAGCAACATTTCTCAGAGTGTATTCCTTGGTGTTCCCTCACCAAAAAACAAAAATACAAACAAACAAAAAAAGCTCTTGTGTTAACTAAATGTGGAAATTACCCCCATAGTGTTTCCTCTCAGAGTCTCACAATGTGTGTCACAATCTGGAGACTCTGAAAGAATGGAGGACAGCAAAGAAGATTTTAACTTACTCTCTTGGTCAGCAATCCCTGTCCTGCCAGCGTATCTATTAATACTCATAGATTGTACTTTGGGAAATAATTGAGTTTCTCCCAGGTACTTAACCTTTGAATATTTCTCCTCTTTACAGAATAGAAGCAGTGTAATGTGGTAATTAAGTGTACAGACTTTAGATACACACCACCTGGGTTCCAACCCCAATTTGCTGTTTACCAATTGTGCTACCTTCAGCAATGACCACCTCTTAAGATGTCAGTTTTACCATCTCTAAAAATGGTCATCCAAATAGCACCAATATCATAGAGTTATTGGAAAAATTTCAACAACTTCTATAAATTACTTTGCATAGTGCCTGACATATAAAAAGTTGTCAAGATTTGTATTATTATTTTTGTATTGTTACTATTCCAAAGGCCTTGGGTGCCTACATGTACAGCTACCCCTAAATATGGAAGTCATTGTGACTTGCCCGGACCCTCTGTCATCCAGATGCAATAGGTTTGCCTTGCAGCTTGGAGAAGTGGTCCTTGGATTTATGAATTAACTCCAAGCACCCAACTCTAAGGATTGTCCAGAGGGCAGAATTTGAATGTTTATATAATAGGAAGAAAAAGAATGGAAACAGTTTCTTTGGCAAGCGACCTGATAAAATAGTGAAATTCAAGAAGCCCTTCAATTAAGAGAGAGAATGTGAACACAACAGGAAGAAGACCTAGTGGCAAAGGTTGAGTTTTTCTCTCTAAGCACACCTCTTACCCAGAGGCTTTCTCTCTTGAAAGCTGCTGACAGAGCTTTGGGGGAAAACAATATATCATTCTCCTTTGGCTGATAAGCCAGGTCCTGTTTTATGTTTAACTTGCTCCAGTGTAGGAGGGGTAGGGGTGGGGATGCGGTATTTATAAGGGGAACTGGGGCCATGTTCCTGTCATTCCCTGTCTGGGATTCAGCTCCTCTTCTGGAGTCCCCATCCCACCCCCCTCGTTTCCGCCCTCACCCTTGAGCTGAGCGGCTGGTGGGAACTTGAAGGGAGTGGAAAAGACGCAAGAAAGCAAGAAAGCCGGAGGAAGAGGTGTGGTGAAAGTGAAAACAGGCTGCCAAACCAGGGGACTCTCTCCAATTTAAAAAGGAAGTCAGCTGACGTTAGTTAAATTTAACATCCCTCTTATGTGTAACGTTTGACTTCGGAAACAAAAAAATGAACTTTGCAGAGGAAGAGGGCTCTAAGAGATACTGCATTCAAACCAAACATGTGGCTATTATCTGTGCGGTGGTGGTGGGTGTGGGGTTAATAGTAGGACTTTCCGTGGGCTTGACCCGATCGTGTGACTCCACCGACGGCACAGCTCCGGCGCCATCCCACCTTCCTCCCGGGACTAGCCCTTCAGCCCTTCCTCCCACGGCCAGACCTTCAGACGTCCCTCCCCAGGACCCCAGCGCCTGTCCTGCCAGTGAAGATGACAGTGGAGATTGGAAACATTTCAGACTGCCGGACACCGTCAACCCCGTACACTACGACCTGGAGGTGAAGCCCATGATGGAGCAGGACACGTACACCGGCAGAGTGACCATCTCCATCAACGTGAGCGCACCCACGCATTACCTGTGGCTGCACCTGCGGGACACCTGGATCACCCGGCTCCCCGAGCTCAAGAAGCCCTCGGGGGAGCAGGTGAAGCTCAGGAGGTGCTTCGAGTATAAAAAGCAAGAGTATGTGGTGGTGGAGGCCGAAGAAGAGCTGGCCCCCGTCGGTGACAAAGGTCCCTACCTCCTGACCATGGAGTTCGCTGGCTGGCTGAACGGCTCCCTGGTGGGGTTTTACAGAACCACCTACGTGGAGAACGGGCAAGTCAAGTAAATATTAAGTTTCGCTTTACTTCCCCTGAGCCCACAGATCTCCTTTCTAGTTCTTCTCTTTTTTCGCATTCTACGTTTTAATTATTTTATTGGTCTGATCTTTATCTGCCGTCGTCGTCGGTTTTAATTTTCCAGTTCTCCCTGTTAACTCTGAGAAGCAAAAATTCTTGCCCTGCCGTATTTTAAAAACCTATCATAAAATTTAATTGTAGTGAATGAAATGCCTGGAGGGGGAGAAAAGCAGTAACAGTGAGTCCTTCATTCAACCAGGAGGAATCATGATATACTGCATCCCATCCTTTATATTTACACAAACTACTTTCAGATTTTAAAGTTTAGGAGTTCAGTGAATTTCACTAGTGATATTCTTGGGCCATTGGGCAGTGATTTTATACTAAGCTTTTAAAGTGATGTTACAAAAAAAAAAAAATAAAGTGATGTTACACTACAACCTGATGCTATTCCCCATCCTTCATGTATCTAAGTGAGCAATCAGTAAATGTCAATGATTATTCTGTCCATTATATCAAAGAGAGACATTGAAAAACTGCATGAGATCCACAGAATTGTTTTTTATATCTTCATCTAGAAAGGAAGGAAAGAAGGATCATGTCTTTCTTGTGTCCTATGGCCAGAATTGTACTTTTATATTTATTTATTTATTTATTTATTTTTGGTACCAGGGATTGAACCCAGAGGTACTTAACCACTGAGCCATTTCCCCAGCCCTTTTTATTTATTTATTTATTTTTATTTTGAGACAAGGTCTTGCTAAGTTGCTGAGGCTGGCTTTGAACTTGAGATCCTCTTGCCTTAGCCTCCCCAGAGGCTGGGATGTACACTACGTCTGTACGTGCACTACCGGCCGGGCTTCTCATTCTTAAATATTTACAGGAATTAGATTTTAAAGATTGTGTAATATCCTGTTGTATGAAGGAACAGAAACTTTCCCCTAATTCCCTGATGTTGGGTATTTGAGTTGCTTCTGGTACTTTATTATTTCAAAAAAGTTAGAAAAGGGCGTAGGTATACATATATTTTTATGTATATATCTGTTTATTTCCTTAGGTTAGGATATTATCCTAAAAATAAAAGTAGTAGTAGGCCAAAGGGTACAAATATGTCAAGAAACTTGTAATACTTAGTTTATTCATTAAATAAATAATACAAATTCATTACAGAGAACTTGTAAAACATAGAAAATTATAAGAAAAAAATAAACATTCCCCGTAAATCACCCAAGTATACCTAAGTAAATCACCCAAGTATAGCCATTGTTAGCCTTTAGCCAGATACTCTGAGTCTTTTTTCTGCACACAGATAAACATGATGTTATTGTATTGCATGGTGGTATTGTGTAACATGATTTTTCACTATATCATCAATACTTTAATATGTCATTTGTATTCATCCACAAATGGAATATTTGATAGGCCATTGGATAATACTAATGTAATTTTTCAACTTTTCTACTAAATGTGTGTAAGCTGCTCCTATTTAACACAATGAACAGTTAGTAAATTATATATAAACATTTTCTAATATTTCTATTAAAAATTCCTAGGAAATCTACCAAAATTATGTCCCAAATTACATTCGCCTCAGTGATATGTGAACAGGTCTTTTTCTATGAACCTCACCAACAATATGATGGTTTTTTAATTGTTTGCCAATTTCATAGAGGAAAAGGCTTAATATTCTGAAGAATATCCACTTTAAAGAGATTGTAAAACTTCATTAGTGTAAAGTAAAAAGAAGCCAAAACTTTTAAATCATTATCACTAAACTTTTTAAACTGCTTTTTAGTTTAAAAAGTTGTGAAGATAATAGAAATTTTATCTGAGGGAAGCCATCAAAATATTTATAGAATAAATAAGATAGAATTTCATATAAGAAAGGTTCAAAATATGGAACAAGTTTCCATTAATAAATTTCTGTCACATCATTTATAAGTTTAAAAAAGCATTTTATACTCAAATGTGATTTTCACTCTGGCTCTTTGTGTTATTTTTCTGTACCAGTTAATTTTACCAAAGTAGATATACTCGAGAGCTGCTCACTCTGAAACTCAGCTGACTTAGTTTTTGGTTGGCAAATCCTAGATGAGGAAGGACAGGGCTTGGCTAGATTCTCGAGGAGGCTTGGTCTCCTGAGTTTGCCTGTTTTCATTAGTAGCAGTTGCAGTTGAAACTCTCACATTACACAGATGCTGCCAGTTCCGTATTGCACACACAGCTCTGGAGGCATTCTGGCATCTACTCAATAATCTCATTTAGGCTAAATGGAATACTTTTTTGTTTTTCTTATGATGAAATATTTCAGGCACTTGAGAAAAGTGCATTTATGTTTTGTTTTGCTTGTTTTGTTTTTTTCAAGCCTGTGAGTAACATCTTGACAATGTAGTTAGTCCCTAGTGGTTCTCATCCCCTGAGTCCATATAAGGGTTGCCAAGGTAAGGTCACAGGGAAGCACCATTCTGTCATACTCTTCAGTGAGCTTTGTCTTATGTGATGTTCATACAATTTTAAATATTACCATACTGTTTCATTTTAAGTATGCAGTCAAAGTATATTTTATTTATTTATTCAATACATAAAAATTGGACATGTTTATGGTGTGTTTTTGATACATATATTCATTGTGTAATGTTCCCATAAGGGTGAGCAATCTGTCTCTTCAACCATTTATCATTTTATAGTGGTGAAAACATTCAAAATCCTTTCATCCAGCTTTTATGAACTGTATTATACATAATCTATAGTTACCATATTGGGCAATAGTGTCCTGGAACGTCTTGCTCCTGTATAACTGTAGCTTAGTACCATGACCAGCTTTTTTGCATCCCAGCTCTCTCAACTACCATCACAGCCTCTGGTAACTACCATTCTACCCTCAACGTCTAGGAGAAGTTTTTTAGATTCCACATATGAGTGAGATCCTCCTGAATTTGACTTTCTGTGCCTGTCACTTCACATAATGTCCTCAGTTTCAATCACGTTGCCTCAAATGACAGGATTTCATCCTTTTGCGGGTGAATAGTATTCTGTTATGTATGTATATCATGTTTTCTTTGCCATTCATCAGTTGATGGATACTCAGGTTGATTCCATGTTTTGGCTATTGTGACTAATGCTTCAATTAATGTAGAAGTACAGATATCCCTTTGACATATCAATTTCATTTTCAAATTCTATTTCCTGACCTTTCTACCTTAACATAAAATTTAATTCTGGGGTTGAGTATCAGTTTGGGATATCAATCTGTGACAGTCTCAATGCATTCTAAGCATGATTGCACTCAGTAGTAACCAAAATTACTTGATTTCTGCAAACAGAACCAGGACCTGAATTTCACAAAGAGGAGATGAGACAACAATCCATGATTCTTTTTCTCAAGATTGAGAGGTGGAAAAAAATAAGTGGAGCCACTGTAGAATTCCTTAATAATAATAATAATATCCACATTATCTTAATAGTAACAGAGAGGCTGAGAAACGTTGCATCATTTTTCCTTTCTTACCCACCTCTTCCTACTCTCTAGACTGTTACTTAAGAGTCTAAGAAATACTACTTAACTGTAACCTTTGGAATGTTTTCCTCCCTACATTCTTCCCCTCCACTTGTACTCACTGTGTTATATAGGGTTTCCTGTTGTCTTCTTCCCAAAAAGTTTCCCTCTACTTAAATCTCCAAAGTATGTATTTTCTTCCCCCAAACGCTCAGCATTTCTTTCTCAGTATTTGAATTACCCTTGCACAGAATTTCCCAAGGTTTATTCTATAGCATTCTGGTTGTAAGGAATCTTAGTAGATATTGCCAGAAAAGAATCAAGGGAGGGATTCTGTGGCCAAATCAACCAAAGAAATAATATTGCATACATAATTTGGTTTGTTTTTTAATCGTGGGACTTTTTGGAAACTTTTATTTGATAATATCCGTTATGAATCTTTGACAGACTGCCATAGTACACAGTTCCCACACTGTGTGGAATCTCCAGTGGAGTTCCTGAGAAGAGACAGTGGTTCTCCTGTTTCCCACCTAGTACACAGCGAACGCTCAAATGTTATTGAATGACTACATGGGAACGTTTTCATTCAGGTCCCCATGTGACTGGTGTTCCCCTACATATGCCAAGACGTTGAAATTGAAATTGACAAAGCTGCAGCCCATTTCCCATTAATGAGTTCCACTTTCACTGGTGAAATTTTCTCACTTAGGGTGGAAAATTAGCCTTGGCTCCTTTTCTCCCCTTCTATGGAATGGAAGAGCAGTTTGTCAAATCTTTGTTTGACTTTGGAATGCAATCTTTATACTTTTGTGACTGAGAATCATTAGAATTGACAGTAAGTACAAGAAGAATTTAAAAGAGGAACAGGTCATTTCTAATTTGGGTTTTTCAAGGTGTCCTTCATAACATTGGGAGGATTTCAACTGAGTTTTGATAAATGGGATTTTAATAGGCAGAAGGAGATGAGAAGATAAAAGCAGGTGGATGCCAAGTCAGAAACTCATAACGGTGGTAAGAACATTAGTTTGTGGTCTCTCATTGGAAGAAGCTAGCTAGAGATAACTCTGGGAAACACGCAGGGAAGAAAAAGAAGGCTGGCTATGACAGAAACTGTGAAGGAGGAATTAACTGGTGACTCTTTGGATGTAGATGGAGAAGGAAAGAGATAAATCAACATCTAAGTATTTGGGAAGTACTGAAAAGAGATGAGCATCAATCAGATATTGGTTTTAGGATAGAGAGAAGAGGATACAATGGAGAAAGTAGAGGGAAGATAGTCAAGATTCCCAGATCAACTGACTGTGGAGAAGGGCTAATGTTATGGGTCTCAGATGCCCGAGGTATGTGATCTGAGTGATGGCTCTTGTCTTTAGTTGATATTGCAAATGGAAGAAAAAAGAACTGGTTTAGGAAGGAAAGCCAACTTCAGTGTTAGGCCTGCTGGAGACCTGTCAGACATCTGAGAAGATACGACTAGTGAGCACTTGAAT